TGATTTGACTTGACTCGAACTTTGTGACGTTGTTATGATGGCTTAATGACGGTTATTTGGTGGGATCATTATGTATAAACAATCATTCAGGCCTTGAAATCCGGTCTTGTCCCACCGTGACATGAATGCTCTCTCCGTCGGTTCTTTGCGATTTGTGGAGTTCAACATGATAACTATATGCATGTAACGAATCACTAGCCCGTTAATAGCCCGTTCAAAAATCATTTCGATACAAGCAAGATACAAGTAACCAAAAAATCAGTCTGAGATCAAATGGCTTTCGAAATGACGAGCTTGTATCTCGGGTTCAAGTCTGTTTCGGCTCTGAGCGCTGAGCTCTCATGAGCTTCAATAATTCGGGCTACGCCCGTTCGAGTTACGATTCAATAAATTACCTGACAATAATTATGTAACCCCAATTGATTCTGCCACCCGTTCCTCGGTCTACGGTCCGTAAACCACCCCTATCAATCGAGTAGAAGAATGTTCGCGAATAAAGAACAGCGAGATCCTGTACCCTGTTCCTCCTATGCTCGTCTATTTCTTTCATCAAGATTGTTGATGTTGACAAAAAGTTCTCCCCAAACCCCCGCCCCCGCAATCTTGAATTTGAAATAAGAACCGGACTTTCCATTCTTTGGAGCCATTCCTGGGAGTTCAAATTTCGTCAGAGTAGCCGGCACCCATGTGCAATCCGCATTTTCCATAGAAGTGAGAAAAGCGCGTACCACGGGAAGTGATCCGTTAGACGTTTCGAGGTCGACGTCAATGATTGTTCTACAAGGGATTTTTGATAACCACGCTCCAAAATCAACCTCTGTCAGCTAAATCAAAATTTCCGCCTCTAGAGGTGAATGCAAATTACACGATGACGATCTAGGCGACGCGTGGTACTTCCAGATCCGCGATCTCAGCCCGATCTGCCTGGGGAAAGCTTGGGCTCCACTGAAATCTACCGACATGTGTCTTGCTATTCAGCTCCAGTTTACAGACTATCGAGACCTTCTTACTTTCGTCGAGGCCGCAGTTTGCGCGTTCTTGAAAAGACATATTTTCAGGGGAAAAAATAAAATAAAACCAGTGATTGCCTGTGGGAGGAAAGAAACAAAAGAAACTACGTCGATACTATCGGCCTCCTGAACAAACTTATACCCTTCGCAGCCTACGCGTGCGCCGTGCACCAACCGAGTCAATATCATATTTTGACCAGGTGAACGCGACAGTCGATCATGAAGTATCCGCTGACTTCATACAGAAAAGAGGACTAGGACATCCCTGAGTTCGAAAGTGCGGCGATCATTGTGCGGCAGATCGGTTTTGTAAGTGCTGGGTATCAAAAGAACGCCAAACAAAGAAAAGAAATAAAATAGAAAGAGTTTGCTCAAATATTCTCAACATCATAGTGTGTCCAGATTTTTTTACAAGACATGGCTTGAGTGCTTTTAGAGGTAAGGCTGCTTGGAGTTAGCCAAATTTTTCGTTGCGTGCTTCGCGCGCAGATGAAAAAATCAGGTGGAGCCACAACAAAACTAATATCACCGGATTCTCTCAACATATCTCTCTAGAACCTTGTTAGCAGAACATATCACGTCTCTGTGAGCTTCAGAATTTTTTTTATGTCAAGAATTGTTTGTGTGCCGTCAATGACGGCTTTCAGGGATTCTGGTCCAGCGTTGTCGCACGTGACTAATGACAAATAACTTTTGGGGGTGGCAGATAACTCTGGCCTCGAAATTCTCTGCATTGGCCACATAAAACTTTCGGCTCTCTGAGAGTAAATTATAGCTTACAGCTGTTAATATGTACATGCCCAAGTTTAGTAGCAGAAGTACTGTATCCATTTGGCGGCTATTTGAATCCAACCGGGGATATGTCGGAAAAAACCATTTTGGCCTTATGATCGGTTTTTTAAATAAGTATTTGCCTTACACGGTCAAATTTTGGGAAATTTTCGGCCGTATAAGCGGTTTCTTGTCTGTTACATACTTATAACCGCCTTACAAGGCTGAGTCCCGGCTATGATTACCTGCCTTATAAGGCCAATCGGATTTTTCCGACATTATGCAGTATGCTCCCACGCTTCTCAAAGTTTTACCATCCCAGCCTTGACCACCACAGAAGGGTCGCCTTCAAAGTTGCAACAAATTTAGCAAATCAAGACTGTTGCTTATCCCAAGCCGCGGAGAAAGAAATGGATAACGACAGATAACGACCAATATTTGAGGAAGGTTCTCAATTACAATTATGACGTGGCCATCCTTGACACTTGTTGCACCCGTCAGATCTTAGCGACTCTAATTATATCCTTAGGGGGTCATTCTAAATCAGCTCCACAGCAACTTTCGTTGAGGTTCGTGGTCTTGATTGCAAAATGCCTGGAGGACCGCCACACGCGACGTTCCTGGCGCAGGCGAAAGTATATAAAAAGCAGCTTTTCGCTCCCTTGCTTTCCAACCGGGCTCCCCTCCTGGATTCAAGATGTTTGGCCAGATTGCTATTTCCACCGTCCTCGCTGTCGTAGCTTATGCTGGCCCTTCCCTCGTGCAGCGAGCTTCCACCCCATCTCCGATCAACCTAGGGATTCCATCAACTCTTCCAGCTAACGCTTCTCAGTCCCTTGATCCCTACCTCATCTCGTTCTCGATTGAACCCGCATTTCTTGACGCGTTCTTGGGCAACAAGTCAAACCCGAATGCGCTCACCCTCCAGCTCATTTCGAATATCGAGAAGGTGACGGGTGGCATCGCTGTTCGGTGCGTTTGTTGTTGAACCCTCGACATTGCCGATTTCTCAATCCATTTTCCTCTTAGCCCAGGAGGAGCTACTGTGTGAGTAACCGTCATAGTTTCGGTCTTTCTCAATTACATCCCCTCTCGACAGGGATTCCTCTATCTACGATCCTTCTCTCACTGGCAGTGAAGTTCTTACCTTGTCTTCCACGGGAGCGGTCCACCGCACAACATGGGGGCCTTCCTTCCTCGAATCCTTAAATCTGTTGCCAGCGTCCTCGAAGATTATCATGGACATCAACCTACTCAACAACTCGTACGAGATCGCGTTCAATCAAGCTTCGGCTGCGGTCCAAGCCCTTGGAAGCAAGCTGGATGCCATTGAGAGTACGTTAAATCTTCTTTGACTCTTTGAACATTCGTTGATTCTAACAAATCTTAGTCGGCAATGAACCCGATATTTACACGATCCAAGGTGAGAAGGACCCTTCCGAATGGACTGCTTTAACCTATGCGCAAACATTTGTGGTCAGTCAACCTTCGCCTTCATCTGTCCCAACGTAACCTCTCTCTAGGATTGGTCTCGTAACTTGACGGCGGGTCTTAACCTTCCCAAGAATTTCTTCCAGGCTGGTGGATTTGGTGAGCCCGGTAACCTCGGCTTACCCACCACGGACAACTTCACGGTAGCCAAGTCTATCGCACTTGGCATCAATAACGCGTCAACAGTCAAGTATTACTGTGAACATGTAAGTACTAAGCTACCCATCATTATTGGTCTCCCGGCTGATTTGTGCGTCTTTAAATAGATGTACGGCTTTGGCAGCTGCACACCCGCCATGATTGCTCTCACCAACTTTGACAACGTCGTTAATCATCAAAACATTACGAGTGCGCCTATTTGCTAAGATTGAAATCATGACTAACATCACATTGGATATCAGCCTTCATGAAGAAGTATGTCCCACAAATTACGGCTGCCAGGACTGCGGGCGCACCCTTCGTTGCCGGAGAATTCAACTCTGTCGGGTGCTCAGGAATGCAAAACATCTCCAACACTTTCGGACAGGCACTCTGGTATGCAAAAAAAAAATTGGCCTATAATCCTGCTAACATCCTTTGATACGATAGGCTCGCCGATACCTACCTATATGGAGCGACACTTAACATCACCAGAATGTACTTGCACCAGGGTGAGAACGTTTATTCATGGTAGTTCACCTCAGTTTTACCCTCTTTCATAACACAGGCGCAACGCTTGCTGCTCAATTCATCGCCGATCAGTTGAATACTCCCGGATTTAGCTGGTACAACTTCGTCTACCCCTCTGACTCTGCTCGAAACGGCCCTGCCAGAGCCACCCCATCATACCCCGGACTTCTCCTCGTTGCAGAAGCTATGGGCACTTCGGCTAACACCTCAAACATTGCCTCCTTTCCGGTTCCTGCCCATCCCCAACTCGCTGCCTACGCTATTTGGGACTTCTCTGCTCGCAGCGGTGCTCCCGCTCGTGTTGTCCTGCTTAACCTTGGCTCTGAAACCGGCCTCAGCGTCGACTTATCGTCCCTATCGCCGTCCGGCGTTAAGCGCCTCCACTCACCAACGCGCGACAATGTCGACTCGGACACAGTTACATGGGGTGGCCAGAGCTGGACCAACGGTACTGCCTCAGGTTCGCTCGTGATTGAGAAGCCTCTCAGTGACGGGAGCGTTGCAATTGGGGCGTATGAGGCTGTATTGGTTTACCTTGCGGGCGTGAATGGTACCGCCACCGCCACGCCAGTTGGGACCGCTTCAACCTCGGGCTCATCATCCATTTCAACGTCGACCAAATCCGGAGCCCTCGGACGGAGTCTATCTCTGACTGCGGGAGGGGTTTCCGTTGCTTTTGTAGCGGCCCTCCTTATGCTTTAATGATTTTTACGCACCAGGTTTTGTAGATACGCATGTGTTATTCCATTAAAAATTTGCTGATATTACAACATTTAAAGAAAATTGTGAGCCAATGGATATTTCGCCTTGGGTGTTCTCTGTTGGTTCTCTGGCAGTGTCCCATTTCATTTAAAATCATTACTTTAGAGCGATACGGGTAGCATGTTAGATAAATAACTTCAACTTGGCTCTCTAATTTGCTCGCGGCACTCCCTTCTTAGAATGGACTTGCTGGTGGCAACTTGCTCTGATTCAATTGAGATTCGGTTATCCACGCCGTACGGGCCGGCCTGGTTTAATATTTGGTTACGATGATGGTGCCAAGCAGCTTTGCTCACTTGACCCTCAACGTTCCTACAGTTCCAACAACGTTCGACGGTGATGTTAGATCGTTTCTAAGTCCTGACACGGTACGCCCCATTCTACCTTCTATGTATAGCGATATTGCTGACTCTTTTCTGTTTTAGCAGAAATCCTTCCTTTCATTGCATTTTCAGCTCACAACGAATCCGCGTGTTTTCAGAGGCTATTGGCGTTCCTCGATTCAACGACTTAGCTACCTCCGCTTATACTCCTATTTCACCACGAGAAATCCCCTTCAAAGCATTTCCGATCGTTCAAGGATTGAAACCATGCCACTACATGACGTGATAGAGGAAAGAACAAGGACCTTGTTCTTGCAGTAAATACAACGGTATCCACCGAAGGTCCAACAATCTTATTTCGTTTTTGAAAACAAGGAATAGGCGATTAAAATATATATAGGTGTCCGAACGTGGTAAGTGGACATATTTTACTTGATAGAACTTCTCGCTGGCACCTCACCAGCTCAACACACCAGCATGCCCACCGCATTAACTTACCCCACAAAAGGCAAAGAGTTACTTCCACACCTTTTCAATGAACTCGCCAGAGAGGTTTGCGGTAGCCCCGTTCGAGGCAAGCCACTATTTTCCGAGATACATCTAGACCACCCAACTAAAGCGGCTGAGCATTGCGACAAGCTTCTCCATCTCGTCCAACGCAGTCGAGACTTCGCACAGTCGATTAAAACTGTCTACATCACGGAGCATCTCACAACGGACGATGGAGCATCTTGTAGCTGGTTGACGACAGAGAATTCCCTTCCCCAACTTCTGTCGTTGCTAGAATCTTTATCCGCCCTATCTATCTCATGCTCGAGTGGCTACTTGGAATGGAGGACACTTTCAACAGAACTCTCGACGTCCTTTAGTTCCTTATTCACAAAAGTCACGTCTTTGCAGCTTAGGAGCGTTGAAGGTGTTCCCATCGCACCAATGTTGTTCTCTCGACTCGAGCACTTAGATTTTGACGATGTCACTCCCGGCGAGATGCATCCCCTCGACCTGACGTTCTTCGACCAGTCACACGAAAGCGAGAAGAACAATCTCAGCTCCCTCTCTGTGATCAACTCCCTCTCGGCGATGAAAGAACTTTTCGATTGTCTTTCACACCCGAATGCGCGACTCGACTTATCATTGCTGCATTCTCTTGAAATTGGATTCTGTAAAGAGGAAGAGATGGCGGGGGCGTGCCTCGCATTATCAGCTGTTTCGCAGTCAGTCAGACATCTAGGTATCAAGCACGTATTGCCGACAGCCTTCGATTCCAGAGGTAAGACCACCATTATAACTATTTATACGGTGATAGAGCTGATTCGGAAAAACAGAGTTTCCTTTGAAATCTCTCAATCTCCACCAATTCCCCCATCTCTTGTCGCTATCGCACTCCATCGACTATCTCTACATCACGTACCCGTCAGAAAATGATCACGACCCCCTCACTTCTTTACTCAATCAGCTGCGTCAAATCTCGAACGAGAGTGAGATTCAAAGCTTCAATCTCGATCTCAATCTTACGGGTATCACTGCCGATACCGACTCTATAACCTCCGACGTCGAAGTGGAGGAAATTGACACGGCTCTATCAAAATTGTGTCACAACGAAATATGGGGTCACCTGGGGCAGACTTTAGCGAGATTTCCTGCGTTGGAGCAGGTCTCCATTTTGGTTGAGATGAGGGACGCATGTGCGGGGATGTATGCGAAGTTTTGTCTGGGGCTTCAAGACAGCTTATACGACCTTTCGGGAAGTGGAATTAGGGTTATGTTCACTATAGCGTAAACTATACGAGCTCGGAGCGACCGTATTTCCTTGATCAATCAGGACATGCAGGACACTTTAGATCATGCTGAAAGGTCGGACCTACTATAGTAGCCGGTATACACAATAATCATATAGAATCACATTCTGTAAAACTCTAAAATCCGGTTTTCGTCGACATATTACATGTCATATCGCTGTTTTCTGGTATGGTGAGAACACGAAAAGCCTTTGAGCTACGAAAAATACAAACGAGCGAGATACTATGTATCCTGTCAAGATAACTATCCAAAAGATTTGTTGAAGATTTGCAAAAGACAAGCAAAAGATGTACTTATACGTTTCCGCCGAAAAACATGGCCAATCTGGCACAAATAATGCGTTTTCCAAAAAATTGTCAGACTAGTACTACTTGCCTCCGTCTCTTCTATCGCAAATGAGAACCTTGAAGTTCACCTCGCAACGGCGTGCCACCTTGTACTTTTTTCAATGCAATCACAGATACAAACAAACCTAATCCGATTGATCCGGCAAACCGACGACCTTGTTTCGCTACCAATCGTCTCCAACCCCGGTCAACGACCTTGTTTCCCTTGACGTTAACAAACGATTCGAAGCACAAAGACATAAATGGCGACAAAGTACTCCTACCGCCAGTTTACACTCCCCCGACGTCCCAAAGACCCCATCGCACCAAAATGTTCTCGCTCAGGAAAGAGCGGCTTCGAGAGATGGGTACCAATCTAGGCAACACCATCTGCGGTTCACCTATAATTGAGCCTATATTCTCGGACATAACTCTCTGTCAGCCCAAAGATTGCGAACATCTTTACTATCTCGTCGCAATCGGATCAGCGCGTTCATTGCGCGAATGTCTGTTTTGGCCACAGGGAAAGACGTGCGACGTTAATGCACTTCCAACAGTGATTAAAACCATCCGTATAAGCAATTCGGACGAGGCTGCCTGGATGGCGACGGATGAACATCTTCCAAAACTACTCCCGTTGCTAGCGTCCATATCCACCGTCGTCATCTCCAATTTTGACTGGAGTACAGCTCGCGTGGCCCTATTTAACGCTTTGCTCGAGTTACTCGTTAGAGCGAGGTCTTTGGAGATGAGGAACGTTTCGGGTGTTCCCATGGCCCAATTTGCGCATTACCCCCAACTCAAGAACTTGAAGCTGGACGGTGTTACACCCTCTAGAGGTGGAGACTGTATGTGTTTTGACCATTTTATGCAAGATCGGCACAAGAAGCTACACCTCAGATCTCTCACTGTAATAAACTGCGTCGCCGCGATGAAGGAATTGGTTTTTTGCCTTTCTAATTCGAAGTCGCGCCTCGACTTGGACCATCTTGATATCTTGGAGATTGGGTGTTCTAATTCCGACGACATGGCTTTGGTATGGTCCAAATTCTCCTCTTTTTCAAAGGCGATCAAGTGCCTGAAGATCGCTCATATACTACCTGGTAAGGACGATGACAAGAATGGTGAGTGGCTCTCCTTTCAATGATCGAGTGGCAATATACTGAACCAAAACAATAATAGACCGTCCATTAAAAACGCTCAATCTCAGCCAATTTCCTAACCTCACATCACTGGTAATCGCCGTCGACTACCAATACATCTTGGACACGGATTACGGTCACAACCCCTTGCCCGATCTGATCGTGCTCCTTCACGCTGCAAAACAACTTCAACGGCCACGGATAGAGCAGCTCTCCCTCGATCTCAATCTTTTGCGAATCACGCCCCACGTCACCGTTGATGATACGGAGCAACTGATGGAGGTCGATGGCCGTGTAGTTGAGTTGTCCACCGCGCCGCTATGGAACCGTTTGGTTCAAGTTTTAGCGGGTAGTATTTCGATTAAGAGCCTTAGCATTGCTCTTGATGTTGGGCATGAGGTGTGGCTTGTGCGATTCCGGGATGGACTTAGGAGGGACTGTAATGGGTTGAGGAAACTCGAGGAAAAGGGGATCATAGTCACAATTGGCCAACGGATTCGATCTTAGGATTCTGATGACTTGATATGTAACATGCATACTCACGTATCCTCTACTGATTCTTTGACGTGATCGGTTGCTCAAATAAAGCCCTGTTTTCCGAGATAAATTTACACGTAATAATATTTTATGCTCTCAAAGAATAAATTGAAGCGACTTGAGGAGTGATGAGCTCGTGATTTGTTCTTTACTCATCCTATGCCATTTTATTCAGTTGCGACGGGCGTTTTTACTTAGGTTGCATGAACGCATAAGTATCAGAGCCGATAAAAAGAAAATGCAACGTGGAGTATGAACCTTTTGCTAGTTGAACGTTGAACGTAGAATATTGAATGACCATCCCTTCATTGCCTGAGAAGAGCTAAACAAAATCTCGCAACGAACTTACGAAGAGACTGAAACATCAACAGTCCCATGGTATCGTATCATATTGAAGTATGTTCCAGAAATACTCTGGGTCTATGGTCTAACGGTCTAACGGGCTGCCTTCTGTGTGTAACGTGTGGTGTGCCTGATTCCGTAAGCCATAGGTTCATTCCCTCGTCTACGTCCCTTTTTATCACCTGTGAACCCCACCTATTTGGTCCTATTAGACAGGAACAAGATATGCTTGTTCCTGTCTAGTTCGATCAAAGATGGCTTTTGTAACGCTCTGGGCAATAACTACCAGTAGTGCGTAGGGACTTTATAATAAATTCTTACCTGTGCTCACCGGCAACCATGAATACCAGTCACCGGTGTTTGGCACTTGGCGGCATTGCGCTCCTGCCCATAAAGGGTTCGATGCCATCACGAAGAACCCTTACTCACCGTTGTTGATGGCAACGCGTCGAGCTCGTCGTGCGCAACGCCGACAACGTGTATCCCCCTCAATAACAATCCATTCCCTTCGC